ACCTGGACCCTACCTATCGACCCATCAACTCATGATCCGGGGACCAACGGCATTACGAAGGAAGGCGTGATCAGAGATGTTATACCTCAGAACATCCCGGCGGCGTCGACTGGGATTGAACCCAGGTCTGCTGGGGTGAGAGGTTATCACACTTACCACTACACCACCGGCACCGCTTGGTGGTAATACTTAAAAACGTGTTATCAGCTATAGTCTGAAAGCACTATATAGTGCCTTTTCAGACTTAATAGTTATAACATGTTATAATCGACAAGAAAAATATCATCAAGATAGGCGTTTGCTGTCGGCTAATTTTTAATGTTTAATAAGTGATTACATTTAGATTTAAGTGTTTCATTGAGACTACCAAGTTAAATGGACTATAATAATAATAAATAAATAAATAATAACATTTTACAACTGCTCAGTCTAGTCAGTGTTTAATTCGTGTATTATGGGTATAGGGGAAATGACGGTTTCGGCACTTTTTTAATTATCGTCAGAGGGTATTGGTCATAGTACATATGCTCTAGAACATAGACCGTTTCCTCAACGTGTGGTCAAGCTCGCTCAACATCGCTGCTTCTCATGTGCTTTTCGCTTATTGGGTTTTCCCGATGGTGAGAATCGATGCTCTAGAATATGATGCACCTTCATGCAAAATAACAGCGCTCAAGGACTTCATTTACCCGCTGACGACAATAGAACACTTTGTCAAGCAGTTTTGGCGTGACTTTCTACCAGCGATTTCACAAAACTGGACCAACTAATTTCATTTTTTTTTATGATACTCACAAATGTTGGCTACTTTTCTCGTGGTTCTAGAAGAAAAAATCTCAAAATAATGTCTTATTTCAAAGTTCGAGTGGTAGTAAACGTCATTTTAACTGCTCGAATGAAGTGGTTAATTAACCACTTCGTTCGAGCAGATAAAATGACGTTTACTACCACTCGAACTTTGAAATGAAACATTATTTTAAGATTTTTTCTTCTAGAACCTCGAGAAAAGTAACCAACATTTGTGCAAAAAATAGAAATTAGTTGGTCCAGTTTTGTGAAATCACTGGTAGAAAGTCACGCCAAAACTGCTTGACAAAGTGGTCAATTGGTAAAGAAGTGCCAAAGCCGTAATTTCCCCTATTTACTATAGCTAGGTGCAACTGAATTTTTGATTTTATTATACGAAAAATACATTCAAACTCAAGCATTTTTATATAATAAATATACCTACCTAATAGCGAATTCGTTTATTATCGGGGTTAACACCAGTTCCAACCCAGTGCGAAACCGAACTTTTTGTCAGTGTAAACCTCAACCTGAGCTAGGTTTTAAAAACAAACGAGCAAACTGACGTTTGTCAGAAAACAAGTAGACCCAATCTTGATACCCGATCCAGGTTGGAACTGAATAATAAACGAATTCGCTATAAGTAGGTATGCAGTACCGTGCGGGACCGAAATCCGTACAGCACCGAAATCCGTACACCCTGTTGAATTTGTTTATTTATATGCATCATAACAATGTAAATATTATACATGAATACATATTCATGTTCATTCATGCATTAGCTTAATGTTTACGTCAACAATTAAGCAGAATGTCATGCAATTAAAATAAGAAAAATAAAAACCTTAACACGTGTCGGGCATTTCTGTCAATCGGTTGCGTTCTTAACGATTTTCTAAGAAAATCTCTCGGATTTACTTCAGTTTGTTAAGCGTATTTCAGTGATGTTTGCAAGTAGTTTCCTGAAGGTCGATCGAAAAGGTTAGTGTTTATCGTTTTATATCTCAATTCTAAGCAATGGATCGTTCATATGGTATTTATTTATCAAAATTAGTACTGTACGGATTTCGATCCATATATAACAGCTGATTCTAAATCCGTACACTTGTGCATCACTAATGACGATTCTACTTTATCCAATGTTTTTCAGCAGATCATGGAAACTAAATACACGCCGGAGGATTTGGAGAAGACTGTGGCAATGATGCGTGCGGAGAAATCTTACCGAGAAGCATCCAGGGATTTTGCCGTTCAATTCACCACCATAAGAGATGCCGTATTGAATCGCTACTCTCTTATTTTATTCGTATTGTAAACGTTATATTATTAATATCTTTTAATGAAGAGCGTCAAGAACCAGCCGAAAAGTAAAACAACGCAGCTCCCCTACAGGATATCACCAACACGCATATACAAATTAGGGACCATGCATAAATGACGTAGCATTTGAGGGGGGAGGTGAGGGTTTCAGAATTTGTGACCGGCCATGTATTGGATATAGCCAAATACGCTACGAGGGGGGGGGGGGAGGAGTATACAATTGATCAAAAATATGCTACGTTATTTTTGGATGCTCCCTTACAGAGAGCAGACAGAAATGGGCCAGAGAGCTACCAGCGAGGAATGACCGGAAATACACATGAAAGTAGTGCGGACGAAAATTGATAAAGAGAACGCAAAGAAACAAAGGATTGAGGAACGACAAAAGAAAAAGGTTGAGCGAGAGAGGAAGAGGAGGAAGAAAAGGAAGAAGAGCAAATAAAGTTCCCTAATAAACAAATACCATGAACGAACTTTATCCCGGATGGGTAAACTTTCCCACAAATGGTTTGGATGATACCCCGAACACGTCGTTAAGCTCTCTATTATGGTTATTTTTATTAGGGTTGGAAGCAAGAAAGCATTATAACTTGAAAAGGCAATGGTATCAATGGAGAAGAAGCAGAAGAAAGCTGTGGAAAAGAAGCAATGAAAGATCTGTATTTTTATGATTATTACTCTCTTGACGTATTAAGTTAAATTAAGTTATAGTCGTTATTTTACCAATTTTAATTTTCATGCACAAAACGAAAAACTAATCCTTGATGTCAGTTCATTGTCTTTTTTTTTGTTGGTTTCTAGTATGGTTGTATTTTTCTTTTACTTATCCGCCATTATAGGGCTACCATCTTAGGAACCGGTTAATTTATCGCTTGATGCCAGTGGGTTGGTGGAGTTCCAAAGTATGGCGCATCTTGCACGTTATCACATGTCAAATTTCAAAAACCTCGAAGTTGTGATCGGAGGAAAACTCCAGTAAGAATATTTAACCCAAAGCACTGGTATAGAATAAAATTTGGAAGAAATTAATCCTTAAACATGATATTAGTTAGCATAAAAATCCAGAGCAGTTACATTCTTAAATTAAAAGAATTCAGTTACCTCTCCTTTGAATCGATTGGAGCATCAATTAATCTAACGCTGATATCATTAGTTAAAAAAGTAAAAGTAAAAAAAAAATGAACTTGAACCTTTGACGAATGATTCTTAGGTAAAATCGTGCACTGAATTCAACAATGTAGTCGAAAAAAAAAAATGTCAGTAGGATAGTTTTTGAGATACAGCTAAAAATGAAAATTCACTTTAAACAAGTTTGATTACTATAATACAAATATCTCCGGTTGTAATGAGATTATATCAATTATTTTAACGCTAAATTAGAGGTAAGAAATTTTTTCGTTCGATCAATTGAACATCAATTGTCAGTGAGATTGATGGTATTGTCACAAACGAAGTGACAGACGGAGCGGCTCGAAAACTTTGGTGACTAACCTGCTATTGCAATTTTTCAGTGTACCACATGGCAACACCACTACTACTGGATTGTACCACATGGCAACACTACTACTAGATTGAACTAGCATTTTCACCAAATGTACTAGAATGTTTTGGTTCTATCTCTTTCACTCTACTCAAAACTGAAATGCATAAAAAAATGACAAAATAATACGCACTCTTTGCACACTGTCAAAGAATCATTGTACACAAAATCAACTTTGTTCAAATCAAAACAAAAAAACTAACCCATCTGGTGGCTGATGGCACAAGCTTCCAAGAAAATTCTATTACAGTGAACCACATTATTTAAATGGATTTCTTCGCCAGTTAGTCGTCTGTCACTTCGTTTGTGGTATTGTTGTTAGTTAATAGTTTGTTTTTTAAGTTTTCCTAAGAAAAATTGAATTTCTGCTAAGTTTTTAAGCAATGTGAATGAAAATGTTTATGGTGGTTCTACCATTACTCTCACGGAAAAATAGTGTTATAACGATCGAAATAAAATTTTATCACGTTTAATTTGGCGTTAAAATAATTAATATCACTTCATTGCAACCAGAGATATTTGTGTTTTATTTTTTTTTAGCGTGAGATATCAATTTTTAGCTTGGGGAAGGAGGGGCATAGTGAACAGGCGGGGCATAGTGAGCATCCCGTACTTTGGCTCTGGATCTCCAACTGCATGAAACAAATCAACTGGTAGTAGGATCAATATCCTTAAGATATTGATCCTACAGCCAACAAATTTGTTCTGAACGGCCGGAAGTCCAAGCTGGAGCACGCGTGATGCTCACTATGCCCCACCTGTTCACTATGCCTCTCTTACCCCTATATCTCCAAAACTATCCTACCGAGATTTTTTTTGACTATATTTTTAGATTCAGCGCACGATTTTACATGGGAAATGACCATCAGCGTACAAAGTTCAAATATGCTGTAAACTAGTGTATTTAAACGAATATAGCTGTTTTGGACTCTTAGCCAAGCAACTACAAAAAAAATACTTTATTCAAGATAGCAACACGTTTTTTTCATTGATTTGGATCGATTTACATTCATGTACGGATTTTGATTCGTGACTGTACGGATTTTGATTCATCCTCAACACAGTGTACGGATTTCGATTCAAAACTGTACGGATTTTGATTCAATCGTAAAACGCTGTACGGATTTTGATTCAAGATATGTGCAATTTAAATCCTTTTTTCTAATAATTAAAGGTAATTTTAAGACCTGGTGTTTGCAAATATTGGAAAAATAAAGAGAAATGTAAAGGAAAAAGATGTGATACAGAGCATAATGTGATAGCATTATTTAGTATTGACCGTTAATGATTCTCTCGTGCTTAGGTGTACGGATTTCGGTCCCGCACGGTACGTTAGTGATCAAGAAAAACCTACCTTCCGAGTGAATATCTATCAGCTGCTTATCCTTGCTTTGTGAAATCAAGTAGCCACAGAGTAATGGCAATGCCTCTTTGTTCGTCAATTTTTGTCACTTTCATGTGATTTGCGAATACGTATGGTCTTCTTGTTAACTAACAGTTGAAAATATCAAAAATATAATAACACCAAATATTAAAAATCACGCACACCACAACAAAAACGAGCCTCTTTTTCGATAATTTCAATAGGTGTAAGGAAAAACAAAGCCCGACGTAAAAATAGCACCTAGGACACAGTCCGCAACTTCAATAGTTTTATCGTTTACAGTCCCGAGCACGTTAAATCGATTATTCTGCGGAAATAGTCACAACCTGCTGCTCTGTGCGAGAATATCTAAAAAAAAAAATCAAAATCTGAGACAAAAATAATTATACTTCTGCGACGCGCCGATGATACCTTCTATTTACGAAATCGAAAGCACAACTGAAAAGAGGATGGAAACAGGGATGCCAGGTTTACTTTTAAAAACTTTGCGTTAAGAGCTTACACGGCCAATCATCCCAACTCAGTGACTGAGAATAATAATAATTATTATTGGCAAATCAAAGTTGGCACTCGTGAAGAATAGAAGAACTATGAGAGTGATGATGGTTTCAAAATTTTACACGGTGAGGTATACGAGTGCAATCTTGAAATGCTTTTATTTTGCAAATGGAGCATTTTATTTAAATCTGGTTAATGCTACGCTAGTAGAAAACTTGAGGACTACTTAATAGACATATAATATAGAAAAAATAATTTCTTTTCAGATTTTTATGTGTAGACATAGATTTCAGCTTTTCTACAACTGTAGCAGCAACCAGATTTAAATAAAATGCTCCATTTGCAAAATAAAAGCATTTTAATATTGCACTCGTATACCTCCCCGTGGAAAATTCTGAAACCATCATCACTCTCATAGTTCTTCTATTCTCCACGAGTGCCAACTTTGATTTGCCAATTGGCAAATCAAAGTTGGCACTCGTGGAGAATAGAAGAACTATGAAAGTGATGATGGTTTCAAAATTTTCCACGGGGAAGTATACAAATGCAATTTTAAAATGCTTTTATTTTGCAAATGGAGCATTTTATTTAATTCTGGTTGCTGCTACAGTTGTAGAAAAGCTGAAATCTATGTCTACACCTAAAAATCTGAAAAAAAAAAGATTTTTTCTATATTATGTGTCTATTAAATAGTCCTTAAATTTTCTACTAGCGTAACATTAACCAGATTTAAATAAAATGCTCCATTTGCAAAATAAAAGCATTTTAAGATTGCATTCGTATACCTCCCCGTGGAAAATTTTGAAACCATCATCACTTTCATAGTTCTTCTATTATCCACGAGTGCCAACTTTGATTTGCCAATTGGCAAATCAAAGCTAGCACTCGTGGAGAATAGAAGAACTATGAAAGTGATGATGGTTTCAAAATTTTCCACTGGGAGGTATACGAGTGCAATGTTAAAATGCTTTTATTTTGCAAATGGAGCATTTTATTTAAATCTATATAGGAGAGGTATACCGTGGAAAATTTTGAAACCATCATCACTTTCATAGTTCGTCTATTCTCCACGAGTGCCAACTTTGATTTGCCAATCGACTTTGTTCATTTCTCAACTTGTCACTACGAACATAGTTTACCCATTTTTGGGTAGGTTCAGTTTTGACCCATCTGGGTGGATTATACCCAAAATTGGGTAGTTTTGAAACAGCGTGTTAATAAAATTCCGTACACGGCAACCACAAAATACCCAATAATGACTACAAAGTAAGCATTTTCGAGGAAGACTGGGGCTACCCATTAAATCAGTGCTAACATTTGAAAACGGCGCAAAAGCCATTTGTAAACAAATGGTTTGTGGGCCCTTTACTCGCTACCCGAAGAACGCCCACGCAAACCAACAGCATCGTCAGGAAGGGGAAAATTTCCCCTACCCGATGTTGCTGTTGTGTCGCGTGGGTGTACTTCAAGTAGTGAGTAAAGGGCCCACAAACCATTTGTTTACAAATGGCTTTTGTGCCGTTTTCAAATGTTAGCACTGAAATGGGTAAACAGATTACCCATTTATGAGTATTTGTGATTCAAAAATGAATACTTACTACTTGTTTTTGTAGTTTTAATCAAGGTTGCAAATACTCATTTCAGCTAAAATAATGTTTTTCGGAATAATAAAACCAAAAGATCGTATGATGACATGTTTTACTTGTAAACTACAAGAAGAGGTTACAAAGTATGCGTTTGAAACATAAAACCTGTAAATTTTGCTTTCTATGTGTCACAATCAGCGATTCGCTGATCGCTGAGTGAGTGAGTGAGTGAGTGAGTGAGTGTGTGAAAAATCGCTGATTTTGACTCTCATGAAGTGAAATAAACAGGTTTAATATGTCAAACACATTCTTTGCAACCTCTTCTTGTATCCTACCAATTCAAAATATGATCATGGCATCTAATTATTTCATAATTAAAAAAAACATTGTTTTTGCTGAAATGAGTATTTGCAACCTTGGTTTTAATTACTCATAAATGGGTAAAATTTTACTCATTTAATGGGTAGTCCCAGTTTCCCTCGAAAATGCTTATTTTGTAGTCATTATTGGGTAATTTGCGGCTACCGTGTATACGTATTATATACCTACACTGATACAAAATCCATCGGCAAAAATCAGCCCAGTGGCAGGCGCGTAGGTAACATGTTATACAGTGACAGCGGGCCCAGCACAGCAAAATAAATGATTTGAGCCCGGGACATGCTGCCTACTGTCAAACGCTGCTGTTGGTATAGGCCTTGTCACTGGCCTGGCAAAAATACTATATCAGGCGTAACATTTGATAACGGCACAAAAGCTTTTGTAAACAAAAGTTGTAAGCAAGCTTGCAAATGCTCATTACAGCTAAAATGCTATTTTTCGGATTTATGAAGCTATGAAATGTTTTAATGATAATTCTTATTTATAAGATGCCAGTAGAGCAGGTAAAGTGTGTGTATGACACATAAAACCTGTCAATTTAGCTTTCAGAGGGTCACAATAGCGATTAGCTGTAACGATAAGCAACGTAATGAGCGAGCAATCAGCGATCATACCATCGCTAGCTGTGACCTTCTGAAAGCAAAATGGACAAATTTTATATGTCATACACAAACTTTGCCACCTATTCTTGCTTCTTACAAATAAAAATTACCATTATATCTCATAGTTTCATAATTACGAAAAATGGCATTTTAGCTGTAATGAGCAATTGCAAGCCTGGTTCTAAGGCCCCTTACACGCGAACCGAAGAACGCCCACGAAAACCAACAATATCATCGGGTGGGGGAAATTTTCCCCTTTCCGATAATTGTATTGGTTTGCGTGGGTGTACTTCGGTTCGCGTGTAAAGGGCCTTACAACTTTTGTTTACTAAAGTTTTTATGTCGTTATCAAATGTTACGCCTGAAATTGCTGATTTAAATTAAATACCCTCATCTATAAATTTTAGCAGAAAACAATTTCATTTAATGCACTATGCACCACAAAAGAAGTGACAGACGACTAACTGGCGAAGAAATCAATTAAAATAATGTGCTTCGCTGTAATAGAATTTTCTTAGAAGCTTGTGCCATCAGCCACCAGATGGGCTAGTATTTTTGTTTTGATTTGAACATAGTTGATTTTGTGTGCAATATGATCTTTGACAGTGTGATACGCTCTTTATCATTTTGTCATTTTTTTTATGCATTTCAGTTTAGAGTAGAGTAAAAGAGATAGAACCAAAACATTCTAGTATATTTAGTGTTGCCATGTGGTACAATCCATTAGTAGTGTTCCCGAAAAAAAATAACAACAAAAATACATTAAAAAACAATGTAACAATAAGACGAAAATTATTGTCTTAACAATGATTTATATTGTTACGTCTACAATAAATTTACCTTGATTTATGTTGTACAAAACAATAAATTTCATGGTAAATGGAAAATTTACAATAAAAAAGGGGGGTTGTTAAGTATCTTAACAATGAAATTTTCGTGATTTTCCCATATAATTTTTTTTCAATAACATTATATATTATTGTTATTTTACTGTTGGTTGGCGAATTTATTGATTAAAAAAATAACAGTGTACTTGAGAGTGTATGTGTTGGTTTGACAGATCTACTTTATCGACTTTAAAAATAAATCGAAATAATAAAACATTGCCCCGGGAAGGGAAGGGGGTGGTATGTCTGTTACGGGTGGTCCTTTTTTTACTGGTTATGGATCGAGATTCGATCCGGAACTTGTGAGAAATGCAGGCCAACTCCCCTGCGCTCGATATCCCTAGGTCACGTCTCCTTGGTGGTTGAGCGTCGTTGATAAGTTAATGCATTCGACTGGAGAGAATCGCCCATGAAATATGCTTCCACATGAGAGTTCCTTCTTGACATCTTCAAGTGGTGGAATTTTTTATTATTATTGTATGATTATTGACTGCACGGAAAAGGTATCCATTAAGCTTTAGAGAGGGTCTAGGATAAGATATGAGCGGACGCGGACTGCCTGGTTTTGAGCCAAACGAACTGTCAAAGCCAGAGCCATACGAGCAGCGCCTATCTTAATAGAGCATTTTATGAGACGTTTCTGGTTCAACTCATGAATGAACTGCAGGAGGCGATTACCTAACGGCTGTGAGAATCAATATCAATATCATCAAATTCTGGCAGGCAAACCAGCTCCTGTCATTTCATAAAATGGACTATTACATTGGCAGTGTTGCTGACAATCAGTTTTATTTTTATTGTTCGTGAAGTAACCCACAATGAAAATACACCAATATTTAATGTAACAACAATTTTTATTATAATAGAGTTGTTCATTAATGTTCATGATCGAATCATGTTAACAATAAAATAAATGAAAAATACGATAAAAATCATTGTAACAACATTTTATTATATACATTCATTGTACAGCTAGGTAGCAGTTTTGCCGTTTTCGGAAGAGTACAACATTATAACAATCATTTTTATTGTCGACAATAAATATTAATGTTAGAGCATTGTTTCCACTGAAAATTTCACTGTAATTTTTTTTTTTCGGGTTGCCATGTGGTACAATCCAGTAGTAGTGGTGCTGAAATGTGGTACACTGAAAAATTGCAATAGTAGGTGCGTCATCAAAGTTTTCGAGTCACCCCGTCTGTCACTTCGTTTGTGATTATATTGTGGTGAAAAGTAAAGCTTATGCTTATGGGTATCAAATCCATTTCAGTTATTTATTATAATTTGACCGATTTTCATTTATCATATGACGATCATATAAAAGTTTCCAAATTACCAGCATTTTTAATGTATCAGATATTCATATAGAATCTACCTGACACATTTTTAATCATATCATTTTCAATGGATTATCTTA